AAATTCTCATGTGTAGAAAGGCTAAAATGTGATAGCATTTGAATAATATAATTAAATCTTTTCGGCATTTAAAACTGACGTTCTCATTATTCGGGAATGCGGTATAAATCATGTAATTTTAACAATGTTTTTAAAGCTATTTTTGCTTATTAAAATGATTTTCAATAAATTAACGAACGATAACCAGCTGGAGCTTCTTTTATAGGAGACATAAGTCAAATTTAACTTTTGAATTGCTTTATAAAATTATCTCCCCTCGTTTAAATTTTCAAAAGATACTTAATTATACAATCTTTTTACAAGTCTCATTATTAAAAAAATGTTTAATTATTCACAAGCTGAACTACAAATGATTTGCTTATTTTTTGGATCAATATGTGAGCTTAGAAAAGGAAGCATGACAGAGGAATAATGTAAATAACTCTGATAACACACACCTGCGGTAGGGACGAGTAGGAATTCTAAACGCGCAGCTGTGAGCACCTACCGTTATCAGATCTATCACTTCCACCTGTCGTGTTTCTAATACTTCTCAAAGTTCTCATTTTGAAGCATTAAAAGCCGATTCCCATCTCTCTTTCATGATCTACTGTGCGTCTCCAGACATGATTTAACGATAAAAGTGAGACGTGGGCTGTATTCGCAGCTGTGTTCTTGTACCATTCGTCAAAAGATTTAGCAACTAATGTGGGCGTTGGGAACAGAATTATTCTAATAATAAAAGGCAGAAGGCAAAGAATGCTGTCTTCGGTTTCATAACCTGTTATTCCAATGAATTGTTGGCCACAGTTTTCTGACATTAATGTTTGTTTTCGTTCACATTCCATTGGTTATACTTAATAATTCTGCTCTGAAAATTCTTCAAGAATCTTTCCTCCGTTAACGTTTCCATATCCAGAGGAAGGAACCCAAGGAAACATTGCAGTATTTTCTGTTTCTCATAAGATGGTGATGAATCATTTTTTATTTGAAAAATAAAATCTTCTGCAATAATACATTTCCTGAATTTTAAATGTAATCAGTTTAGCGGAGTTACACCCTCCTGTATTCTAAACATATGATCTAGTTACTACGTCAACAAGATAGGTCATTTCCAATGGCCAGACACTTAAGACTTAATACATTCGTTGGAAACGTCCAATACCGATCGGTCATTTAACTATCTCATCATCACCGAGAACAGCTGCCCAAGGTGCACCATAAAGTGCCACCGATTTTGAACCCTCTACAATGAGCAAATCCTCTCCAGTTCCGATGGAGAACATGCTAGGGGGGGAGGAAGGGATATGAGTTCTTTTCCGACATAACTTTGATTTAATTCATCTATAAAGAATATCTTATCCTTATGACTTGCCACCTCGACATTTTCGCCTGCGGGCGCGGTACCATTGCATCCTCACTTATTTAAACTCAAAGTGATCAGCCTCCGGCCTTACAAGAGATATAGGCAAAAACTCTTATGTAGTTGGTACCTGGAAAATGAAAAGGATGATCTTAATCTTAATCTTCTGACCACCAAACCACGGAGGAAGATATAGCCTCCGTCCACTGAAACCTCTCGAGAGGCTTTGTCAGTTTTTTTTTTCTTTTTTTTCCTTGTGTGCGCGCGCCCCTCCGTGTCGCGAGACACTGTTCTTCTAAATGACACGGTTTTTGAGATTTGCTTTTGAAGAACTGTAGCTAACTGTTTCCGCTACAATATTTATTTAGCTAAATTTGGATAAATTATATTTCTAACTTTTGTTTTCATAAACTTTCATTCATTAAGATATTTTGATCATTGAAAAGACTACGTAATATTTAGACCATTCAAAAATTTTTTAAAAAATTGAAAGATTTAGATTTTAACGGTCGCGCAAAAGGGTTTTTACTCACTAGCAGAGCTAGTAGTCTACCGGTCTACTATTGCACTGAATCCTAATAAACCTCTTTTTTTTAACTTTATTCTTAAGCATCCTTTTCTTCCTTGTTATGTCGCGAATTTTAATTATTAATATGTGTTTTAAGTTATTATTATTCTAATATTTTAATTTTATTTATGTATATTTTAATCTGGAAAAAGTATTCTTAAGCCGTGGCTTTATTTAACTCGTTATTCGTGAGTAGGAATTGTAACAAAGGCGAGAGACGGTTGCGAGGAAACATATCTGGTTTATTGATTTATAGCCTTTTTAATAACAATGGAGGCAGTAGGGTGTTGTGTTGTCGCCTTTTACTAATGGCGTTTGAAACGAAAATCGTCTTCCTTTTGCTTTGTCGTAGTTTCAATTTTGTCTACTTCAAGACAGTGGGGATTGTACTAAGCTTAGGTAATTGGATTCTGGTAAAGCTTAGTTCCGCTTTACCAGAGTTACCTTTAGTTCCGCTTAGTTGGATCCACTTTGTTTCCCACGTTTTTCCTGAGTACAGATGTTGGCTCATTTTGAGATTTTTCTTGTTTTGGATTCGTCGTGGGGATGTCATTTTCTCAGTCTAGATAAAGTAAAATTCTAGCATTGGTGTGATTTTAATTTTATGATTTTTGAAAGCGTATGAACTCACAGAGGCGGAGAAACTGAGATTTCCTGGGAAGTTTACACCTTGCTAGAGTTCATTCTGATTCTGATTTTCAAGCTAAGAGAAAGAGTGCGGGGGCTTGACCCCTTGCGGGTCTTGCTCTCGCGAGCGGCATGTACCGGCGGGCTGCGGGTATGGGTTCCCGGCTTTGATCAGATATTGTTGGACATCTGAAAAGTAGGTGTTTTAAAACATTTATGACTTTAAACTTTGACTCAACTTATGGTGCCGAACAAATTAACTAAAAAATAACAGAATCAAAACAAATCTATTTCATAATATACCAAAGATCAATCGAATAAACAAGCGTATAGTGGTATTGGTTTAGTACAAGGGCGCGTTGTGAAGACCACTAGGGAAAAATCAATAACCCCAATTCAGTAAAACTCCATACTAATCAGGAACGCTAACGCTTCAACAAAATCAAGACCCAAGGAAGACACAGGTATCGAGATGCTTCTTTTAAATCCGGAACAGTCTTTATCAGGAACGCTTCAATAAAACAGGAAAAAACGCCTTGAAAGGACCCAAACTAAACTGGAAAGGCACTAGGCAGGATAAACAAGAAACCCACTGGTATCTGCATCACCCCGAGAATACCTATTAACAATTCTCGGAAAATTATAATGCAGAAACGACAATGCTATAAATTTTTGCGATCAGCTCTAGCGCCTTTTTTTAATGTAATTTCTCATCTCATCAAAGCCGGGAATCCATAGCTGGTACATGCCGTTCGCGAGAGCAAGACCCGCAAGGGGTCAAGCCCCCACTCTTTCTCTTAGCTTGAAAATCAGAATCAGAATGAATTCTAGCAAGGTGTAAACCTCCCAGGAAATCTCGGTTTCTCCGCCTCTGTGAGTCATAGGCTTCAAAAAATCATAAAATTAAAATCACACCAATGCCAGAATTTTACTTTATCTAGACTGAGAAAATGACCCCCACGAATCCAAAACAAGAAAAATATCACAATGAGCCAACATCTGTAGGCAGGAAAAACGTGGGAAACAAAGTGGACCCAACTAAGAGGAACTAAAGATAACTCTGGTAAAGCGGAACTAAGCTTTACCAGAATCCAATTACCTTAGTAAAACCCCACTGTCTTGAAGCGAAAGGAAGACGATTTTCGTTTCAAACGCCATTAGTAAAAGGCGACAACACCCTACTGCCTCCACTGTTAGTAAAAAGGCCATAAACCAATAAACCAGATGTGTTTCCTCGCAACCATCTCTCGCCTTTGTTACAATTCCTACTCACGAATAACGAGTTAAATAAAGCCTTAACAGCTTAAGAATACTTTTTCCAGATTAAAATATACATGAATACAAATAAAAACATTAGAATAATAATAACTTAAAACACATATTAATAATTAAAATTCGCGACATAACACACTTACGCCATATGCAACTGAACAGCAAAATTCCAAAAATTTTAAAAGCAGCATAGCAATATACGTTTAGAATTCCCGATGCATCGTTAAGTGTTCGCATACACTTCAGTCTTTTCTCAATTCATTTTCAGACTTTTCTCAATTTTTAGTTTTTTTCTCATGTAAGTTGTAGTGTAGTGTAAGCGGTTATCTGATCCAACTAACAGCTAGTTTGTTTGTACTACAAAGAGTAACTACTAGATTGTTTTTTATTTGTAACTATTAGTTTGTTTGTTTGTAATTTTTTACAACTAGTTTGTTTTTCTGTTGTTCGTTGTTTTGAAGGACGACAGCGGATTAGGGGACCCAGTCGCCCTATACCGGTAGTGACGAATTATTGTTCACCAGCTTTTAGTTCGGGGGCCACTGTAAAGTCATTAAGTTTTTTGAAGCAGGAGACATGAAAAATGAGCAACGTCCTCGCCTGATCTCTAACCTCGAATACGCGCCGAGTGTGCTACATTTACACTACGAAGATATACTGAAAAGAGGGATAAAATACCTTACAGTACTAGAACGAGACACTACTGGTTTATTTGTTCAGTAGAAACTACTAATTTGTTTGTTTGTAGTTTGTAACAACTAGTTTGTTTGTTATTTGTCCGTTTGCATTACAACTTTTATTGTAAGCGGTTATCTCATCCAACTAACAACTAGTTCATTTGAACTACGACGAGTAATTACTAGTTCGTTTGTTTAGTAGAAACTACTAGTTTGTAACAACTGTTTTGTTTATCACTTGTATTTTCTCGTCTACACTACAACTTATAGTGTAAGCGGTTATCTTATCCAAGTGACAACGAATTCGCTTAGATCCCAGCGAAGACGCAGATGTTTCCTCACATTTTTCTACTCCAAAATTCCTAACAGACTCTACAAGATCGCGGAGCAGCTTAGAGTGCTGTAATAGAAGAGACTTTACTTGGTTTGGCTTGGTTGAAATGTAACATGATTTCAATTAATCAGTGAAGTAAGCGATTAAGTAAGATTTCAATTAATCGATTGAAAGACTTACCAGCTACAGACAACACTTGCAAGTTTCTCATACTACATAGATGCTGCAGTCCGAAATCTCGTATCTGGGTGCACCACCTCAAGTAGAGTATTCTCAAGTTGACCATTGTCGACAGGTATCCCACTCCGATGTCCGTCACGTGGACACACCTAGAAATGAATACATTTCCTTGAGTTTTATGAAATTCTAACAGTTTAATCAACAAGATATGAAACTGTAAATGTAATCATAATCAGATCGCAAACTTCAGTATTTCTGAGATATTTTATCAGTTTTTGTATCAAAGATAGCTTTTTTTTTTTTTTTAACTTAAAGAACGTTTGATACAAAACCCATTGCAGTAGAGTTATTAGGTTGCTTCGAAGCCAAGAAACAAAAAATTCCGCTTTGCCCTGGCCAGAATTTCAACTCCGAACCTTTCGAATATGCATCCAGCGTGCTTCCAGTTACACTACGAACGCATGCGGAAAGGACGGAGAAAATACCTTGTATCAGCATTGAAAGAAAGAAATTTTGTTGGAAAAAATCAAAAGAAGGGGGAAAATGCAATTTTATCCTTAACTCTTTCGCATCGAGAGAGACCAAAAATCTGTACACCTCAAACATCTGGAACGCTCGTGCATACGAAATGCTGTAGAATGGCTTTCCTTTCCCCTATTAAGTACAATGCTATAATTATTAATGATTATTTCTCTCTTGGAGATCTTTGCGCGGTTTCACCCACTGTGTGCAATTTCCCCTTAGGATACGATTGAAAGTGCGAGCATTAATACCTAAACGTTACGCTAAGCAAAAGAGAGGGAAGTCGCTTCGAAAAAATGATTGGCGTGTCATTTAACAACTCGCGAAATCAATGAGTCAAGCACTAATGTGATGGGGCAAAGCACCTGGTAAAAGATGGACGAAGGTGTTCGGGCGACTTACCGATGTTCATAACACTGCAATTCTTCAGTGTTATGAACGAGTTCGCTGCGAAAGAATTAAAAGCTTCAGTTTAATAGCATCATAGATAATTAATGTATTGTTAAATGTTAATGTACAAATTATACCTATCGTTCGAAGCACTAAATAAACAACGTGTCACAGAAAATGTAACAAAATAATTTATCTAAATTTATAAATTTCTTTTTAAGATTGAATAAAGATGTGTATCATCGGGATGATTTAATCCGCTTGGCCTATATAAAGAGCTTAGGTCGTTAGGAGCTTAGGTAGAGGATATATAAAGAGCTTAGTTCGGATGTCATCTCGAGGGAGTAGAGTATCATAGATCTGCCTTCATCCAAAGTAAAACATTCAAATTCATTAAAAGAACCAAATGCATTTTTCTGATGAGAAATATTTACTTATAAGTTGGATAATAATTAGGGTTTTTGAAGCAAGAGACGTGAAAAATGTGCAGCGCCTTCGCTGAAACTCGAACCTTAGACCTCTCGAATACGCGTCGAGTATGCTTCCAATTACGCCACGAGGCCATGCGAGAACAAGGAAGAAAATACCTAATAAAGATATACGGTATGTCGACTATAAATATCAAAAAGATTTTTAGGCAATTACAAATATTTACATATAAATGATACGTATACTCATATTTCGAATTCTATGACATGAACAGTGTTGAAACACGGTTTTGTAGAATATCATGAAAGTATCGCTTTCATTTTTAAAACAAAAGTAATATTCCCTACTGTTGTCTGATAAACACATTTTTTCTTCATAAACTACACATTATTTAAATTTATACATTATTTCGAAGCTTTTTTTATTATCATAAAATTCAGATTTTTCTTATAGACGTAGGTAAATCTGAAAGAAATTCTGTATTAGAGATACCTAACATATAGCATTTGAAACACTCCTTTTATATACATTTAAAGCTAAAAACACTGCTAAAATAAATAACTTTCTCAAAAATTTAGCTTTCTGTTTGCGAATCAGCAATGAATGTTATAAATGAAAGGTGCTGTGCCTCGTGAATTCATATCGCTCGCGATTCTCACTCAACTTTCTTCTTAAACTGAAAAAAAAAAAAAAAAAAAAAAAAAAAAAAAAAAAAAAAAAAAACCACCACCACCTGTAATTAGTCATTAATAAATGACTACACTAGGTTAAGTTATACGAAGATAGCAAAACACATGAGGGCTATCTACCAATGGGAAAGAATGCTTTGGTGGAGGTTTTCCGAAGGGAAACTAGCTCGTATCTTTGTCCCTCTTGTAACACCATTTATTTCTTACACGATAAGAAAATTGAGGTAACCCTCGAATAACAAGGCAACACTGTTTCATTGTAACAGGCAAATGAACGTACACAGCGGGTGAATGTACACAGCGGAGTGAAAAAAAAGCTCAGTTCTATATCTTCCGTTCTGCTGGGCCGACTGACGAAAAGTAATTTGCGTTCTTAGTGTCTCCAAAGTGCGCCTTAGTATATACTATATATACTTAGTATATAGATTTACATATATAACGTTGTTCTAACAGGGTTGGGGAGTCGGTAGAGAAAATGACCGACTCCAACGTCTGGAGTTTTAGACTCCGACTCGGCTTCAACTCCCTCATATATATATATATGAGGGATATATATCCTCATATATTATATATATATATATATGTATTAACAAACATGTATATATATATATATATATGTGTATTAACAAACATGTATATACGTAAAAAGCAAATTTAAAGTTAAAATAATTAAAAAATTGTGCAATTATTCAGTAAAAAACATTACGAGGAACCAGAGCAGGTAATAAACAAAAAAATAATTTTTTTTCAACAATAGATACAAAAAAGTTAAACGATAATATTAATAATTACTTTCTTACTGATAATTTCACTAAAAATACAATTACTTGGTTGCATACTTGTAAGCGCAATTTCTTAAAATTACTTTTAAAGTTTGTTAAACAGCATTTTACAGGGCACAATATTATCAAAGACCTTATTATTGACTTTTGCAATTTATCTCAGAAGTCTCAGAAACACGGGGTCCTTATCAGCACTGCACGTGGTTATAAGCGGTATTATTCGAAGTTCAGATTTTGAGCGTGAAGGTGCAGTTGCCCCTCGCTCCTTATTTTTAACTTCGCTAATTTTCTTGTCCTTTGTTTTACATGTTTGATCAGATAGCCTGGCTCAGTAAAAGTAGGAGGCCAGTGTAACTCTTATTAAAAATCCGGTTATAACCACGTGCAGTGCTGATAAGGACCACGTGTTTCTGAGACTCCTTCCCCTTTTTTTTCTTCTTTCTAGGTATTTCTTTCTCCTGATGACGAGAGACCTTTAGCTGCCCTCGAAATTGGTTGAGTGTTTCAATATACTTACGCTAAATAAAAGGTTGTTTTTACCATTTTGATTGTCACATTAGCGTGTTTCTCTTTTAGTCTAAGTCCCATAGTTAATTTTTATGGTTTCAGCCTACAAGGTCACACCAACGGTTCAGGGATAAAGAAGTCTTTCGCCGGGAGTCGGAATGTACACACTTTTGTTATGTACGAGTGGAGAACTCCCCCCCTCGGGGTTCAGCGGAGTTAACGACACCGTGAGTTAGTAAAATTTTTGGCAGCGAGAAAGGAAGGTGGTTTTCTCAGAAGAGCCGGGACCTTCCTGCTGGGGCTATGGGCATTTCGGCCCGCTAGAACTATGACTCCTCGTGTATGCTGTTGTTTCCTGTTTAACAATTTTCCGAAATTACGGGACTGAATGCAACAAAGTTCCACATCGTTATAAATCGTTAATGTTCCACATCGTTTATGTTTTTGTAATTAAAATTCGTATTATTCCTAGAACTTGAGTTAGAAGTTCATTTCAACCCTGGAACACAACAGGTGTTCTGTGTAGCGGATTCGGCCACTACACCACAAGGGATAACCTGAGGACATACAGGAAATTTGAAAGACTATTTTTATAGCTTTCTTCACTATTCTTTTCCTACGCCATGATCACTGGGAAGCCTGATTTCTTAAATTTACAGAGAAAAGAATTAATAAAGAAGCAAAGTCATTTCCCCCCTCTGCACAGATTAGAGCCAACTAGTCTGTTTCGTAAATAAATCGGTCCAAACCGCACATGCGTATTTGTTTTTATGGATCGCGGTCAGACAATATGTAAACATTCTGAAAGTTCGCTTTTTGTAAAAAAAAGAAAGGGTGTGGAATTTTTAAATGAGACAAACGTATTGGCCTAAAATATTAACTATACGCCAAGTCTTCTTCTTTCACAGTATTTCTGGATTATTTGTCGAAAAAAATAAACCACTTTCCAATAAAATCTATCTTGTTAACTCTATTCTTAAAGAAGTTCTACTTTAATATGTAAATTATCTAATACAAGAAAAAAACCGGATCCTACATCTGAATATTGCGTGGAGACACCCGCATACTCAGAAAGCACCAACATCGATTTTCTGTTGCCAAGAGATACCCCGATCGATATAGAATAGAAGGGGTTGACACAGCGCAGGCATCGGAATCGGCGCCCCTGCGTCTGCCAGCGGCATTTCTGTGAGCCGTTCCTTTTCCAGAAATAATTCAAGAGGAAAATAAATATTTAATCTCAAGTTCGCCTGATTCAAGGAAATAAGATCGGCCGCCGAGATAGTGAAAATATTTCTGGCAACAGATTTAATTCAAGTGTGCCATTTAACAGGTTAGCTTTATCTCCACAAATATTGGCTAAGATTGTTTAGTACAGGAATCTAAAACGCAAAATGCACGCGGGCCAAATGCACGATCTGAAAGTAGATGAATGGCCCCAATTAAAAGGAAAAAAAAAGAAAAAAAAACGGAAAAGAAAAGAAAAAAGTTAACAAAACAAAATTACTTAAAAAAACTTAAAAAATGTTTTCAAAATTTCTTAGTACATGTATGTCAAAACATACATATAAAAAAGGCGGAAAAAAAAACCTGAAATTTTTACTTATATTTTGCTGAAATCTAGAAGTGGGTATGTTAAAAAAACTCCTGTTGGTCACAGTGTGTAATTTAAGCATGTATTGCGCATAACTCATGTATTGATCATAACTCATAAACAAGTAGCCATAGAATGCTGAAATTTTGTATATGGGACTGCTATAACATCTAGTTGTGCACCTCTCTTTTTCTCTGCAACCGGCCCACCCCCCCGCCCCGCAACAAATATATATA